TCTCACTGCATTCTCACGGCAGTACCTGGCATACGTTAGATGTTACACAGCATTTATTGAAATAATGTGGAGATGATATTGCCATTTGTGGGAATGAGGCCTCTGTCCTTGATTACAATGCTGCTTCTCCCCTGAGACCTTCCCGCTTATCCTCATCCTTTCCCGTGCTGTGGTGGACCATGAGGAGGCATGCCAGTCTCCATTGCCACAGTCCCAGCTGGAGATGCTAAGGATTCTCTGCCCTCACCAAGACCATCTGGAGCAAACCTTTCAATTAAGAAGTCCAGACAGTGACAATTGCCCCCAGGGTTCTCACATCACAGCGTACCCTGGAATCTGCCTCAATCACCCCCAGCTCTATCGCTGGCTCACAGGAGCTTCCCCAGCCTGAGAGAGCTCAGGGACCTTGAATCAAACCTCACCTCTGCTTCCCAACCCTCTGTGCCTCATCACACCACAGCTGCTGTGCCCAAGACCAGTGCGGCCTCTCAGCTGAGTCCAAGGGACTTTGTGGAAGTGTCCCAAGGAGCATCTGAAATACACCGAAATGTGCAGACGAGGCCACACCATCTCTGCAACTGATGCATCTGTTTACCCACTGCTCTCCACGGAATTCCTTGGGAAGATATGAGAGAGAGAGAGAGAGAGAGAGAGAGAGAGAGAGAGAGAGAGAGAGAGAGAGAGAGAGAGAGAGAGAGAGAGAGAGAGGGAGGGAGAACACGAACAGCTTTGGGAGAAGGCAAATCTCTGTTTAATTGCACGGAGGAAAGAAATACAAGATGTTGAGTTTGCAGGAATCTGCACCATCTGCTTAAATGCAGCTTGATGCTTCCTTCCCTGTAGGTAGCATCTGTGGATGCGGCAAGTGGCCTGCTGCCCCCGCACCAGGGAAAGCAAGGGAGCTCTGCATCGGTGGCCTTGCAGGCCATACGCTGTTTTCAACGTGCCCTTCTGTAGACAGCGGCCTGCATAGGGAGCGGGGACCCAGGTGACTGGGCTGTGCTTGGCAGGACACTCCACTGTGTGGTAGAAAGAACACTAGCTAGGTGTCTGAGGGCTGGGCCTGCCTCCAGCCTGCTGTGTGGCTGTGTGAGCTTGGTCGCTTTCCCTCCCTGGGCCTCAGTTTCCATGTTTGTGAAATGTGCAAGAGGTTCTAAGGTTCCCCTCCAGGTTCAGTGACAGATGCATAGGGAGGTCTAAGGGGAGAGGAAAGAACTGGAAGGTCTGATGATGGGCCCACTCCCTAGCTGATTGTGATCCTGGGCTTGCTGAGCTTCAGGGTTCTTATCTGCAAACCGGAATCAATAGTATTAACTGCATAGTTGAGTAACTGAGAAAAAGCACCGAAGTACTTAATTCTGGTCTGGCACTCAGTGCCCCCAAAAAGTTTCCTAGGGAAATGATACTTAAGACCTGTAACTATGAAAAATGAAGTACTATATATGTAGGATATATGTATAGGATAATCCTGACCAGGGCTGGCCTTTGGCAAATGCAACCAATTTTGCCTCCCAATCTCTTTATGTCTTACCCCCACACCTCACACCTGTACCTACATTGCACATCTCTTCCCCTATGCAAACCTGTTTAGGGGAATTTACAGACAGCCTCTTCACTAGTCTAAGGTGCTAATTGCAGCGTGGATTCTATAGGAACATTTGCTGGACAGCAGTAAGGTTCTCAGACAAAAAGAAGCCTCAGGTATAGAGTTCTGATCCATGGCAGTCCCCTCCCTGGCTCCACTGTGTACTAGTCACCCACACGCCCCTGCACTGGGCCCTGATACGTGGTGTGGGCTGCGTTGGCTGGAGCCAGAAGTCAGGAGCCCTGAGTCCTCAGCCTGTGTCTGCCTGGCTGCCTGAAGTTTTAGGAACTAACACTCTGTGTGTGCCCCAATTGGCAGGCTGTCTTCATGCAGAACAAATCCTGGTGTCAGCGCCAACTTAATTATGGATCAAAGAAACTGTTGCCATGTTGCACTAGTCCAGGGGTTCTAAGAACTTGTTCCAAAGACCATGTATCTCCCAAATCACTCCAAGCCTTAGCCTGTTACCACCTTGGTAGCTTTCTTTCATTCAAATAGCTCTGGGGAGTGATAACTCTTAAGGCTTTGTTAGTCATTAAAACATTAGTCTTGCCCTAACTGGTTTGGCTCAGTGGATAGAGCATCAGCCTGAGGACTGAAGGGTCCCAGGTTTGATTCTGTTCAAGGGCGCATGCTCCAGTTGCAGGCTCGATCCCCAGTAGGGGCATGCAAAAGGCAGGCAATCAATGATTCTCTCTCCCCATTAGTGTTTCTATCTCTCCCTTCATCGCCCTTCCTCTCTGAAATAAGTGTGTGTGTGTGTGTGTGTGTGTGTGTGTGTGTGTGTGTTAAAAAAAAATAGTCTGAATTAACAGATAGGTAAAATAGATACCAAAGGAGGCTCTGGTGGAGTGGGATGAGAACAAATATTGATGAGAGATGTGGGGCATGGACCATAGGCTGGATGGCAGGCTCACAGGAGCACTGGGCAAATAGCCAGAAGGATCTCGTGGAGGCACTAGATGGGAGGAAAGGCAGTTAGTTATACACATTAATGCAGTGTCTAGTGTGTGTCAGACATGGTACCAACCAAATACTCTCAGAAATATGCATGTAAATAATGCAGTCAACACTGCCCACATTTGCCCTGGATACACATAAGCCACGAGGTGATCATGAATTGGGAGACCGAACTCTTCCACACTCTTAGACTCTGCGGTTCTCAGGGGCCTCTCCAGGGTGAGCCTCTCGTAGTGCTGATGAGAGCATCCTGTTCACACAGCACACCTTTCGATTGCAAGCCAGTGGGTGCTCAACCTCAGGCCCAGTGATCTGTTCCAAGGCTGGAGGCAAAACTGGCTGGGTTGAGCATTTGCAAAGAAGTATATTGGTTTCCAATATTTCACTTTCCTGAGGGACTTGCAAGGGTCATTTTAACTATAGGAAATGTTTGTGGTTGTTAACTTTGTAGCCCAATCCTTGGGCTCTCATATGCAGAAGTCCATGATCCCTGAAAAATAGCAGGTAATACACCCAACCACTGTCCATTAAACTCATCAGCATTTATTACTAACTGGTCAGCCCTGAGCCAGGAGACAGCTCCACACCGGTGGCCCCCAGCATTGTGCACACCTTAGATTTCCTGCCTCTTACTTCCTGACAGTATCAGGAAGCCCCCTGCCCCCCTCCTTCATGAGTAGCTGAGCCTTGCTCCTGTGTGGAACGTGCGGATGTGGAGAACATAAGGATGTGGCAGCATTTGAGTTTCAATGGGTAGTCAGTGGAGGCCCAAGGTTTATCTCACTCTCCTCAGCTCACCTCACCTCTGTTACAGGTGTGCTTCTCCTAAGACACAAGTTTTCCCCTATACTACCACTGCTTCAGGTTAAGCCCATGCATTAGTCTGGAATCATAGTGGTAGCAGAAATAGTAATTATTATATTATAATGATAAAGTTATAGCTAACATGGAGTGAGCGTTCACCTTGTGATGAGCATGCTGCTGCAAGCTCTCATGCCATTTCTTATTCAGTACTCATCACACCCCAGGAAGGGAGATAGTAGAAAAGGAAGTTAAACATCAGAAAGGTTACGTGCACAGTAACAAGACTACAAGTCATTCTGCCAGGCATTAAATTCTGACTTCAGAACTCAACCATTATATTAATACCATTTGGCCTAAACAAAACCTATATAATAAAAGGCTAGTATGCAAATCAACCGAAAGTTGGCTATGGCATGCACTGAACAACAGGGGCAGATGCTCAATACAGGAACTGCTCCTGGTGGTCAGTGTGCTCCCACAGGGGGAGCACCTCTCAGCCAGAAGCCGGGCTCAAGACTGGCAAGTACAGCAGCAGTGCTCTGTCTTCTACAGCAGTGCTAAGGATTCCAACCTTCAGCAGGCCTACCCCATGGAGAGCAGGCCTAAGCTGTCAGTCGGACATCCCCCAAGGGTTCCCAGACTGCGAGAAAGTGCAGGCCAGGAAGAGGGACACTGGATGCCCCCTCCCTGAGTGTACACATTTCATGCACTGGGCCTCTAGTGGTTGTATAAAAAGGAAGAGAAAAAAAGTGTGGTAAGTACTAAGTGGCTTACACTCCTCATGGGATCAGGACCTAGACCTTCCCCTCACGGCCCTGATCGCACTGTATCACAGTCATCTGACCACTTGTTGGCCCTGTGCTCCTCCAGGTCAGGGATGGTGCTGATTCTCCTTTACATCACCAGCACCTGCCAGGGGTTTTGGCATCTTGTCGGTGCTCAATCAGTGGTTGAACAGGTTAATGGATGAGTATGTGAATGAATCCATGGATCCAAATAAACCTTGGCCTTCTCCAGGAACCTTGCCTGCTTATGAAAGCCCACAGGGAACCCCATTTTCCTGAATTGCTCCAGCACTCCTTTCTTGTATGATAGTTCATTGCACCCTGGCTTGCCACATGCAACACTTCATTATAAGTTGCTGATGCCTCCCTGAGCTGACCATCAACATTTCCAAGTCACCTAGCTCAGGGCTGGGCCAGTCCTCTGAGTAAGTGCACTGAGTACAGCGGAGCCTTGAACAATGTGAGGGCTGGGGGGGGGCTGACCCCCAGTGCACTCAAAACTTCATGTATAACTTTTGACTTTCCAAAAACTTAACGACTGATGGTCTACTGCTGACAGCAGCCTTACCAATAACATGCATAGTTGATTAATATGTATTTTGAATGTTATATGTATGAATATTGTGTTCTTAAAATAAAGAAAGCTAGCGAAAAGAAAGTGTTATTAAGAAAATCATAAGGGGAAGAAGATACATTTGCAGTATTTATTGAAAAAAAAATCCACATATAATTGGACTCACACAGTTCGAATCAGTGTTGTTCAAGAGTCACCGATAGCTTCTCCTGACCTAGAAGCAGAAAACAGAAGGTGAGGCCACCCACCCCCAGGGGAATGACCCTTTGCCCTTTTGTCCCCGCCCCTGCAGGAGCCTCCTCTGGCATCATCGACCTCCTGCCGTCCCCCAGCGCTGCCTCCAACTGGACTGCGGGACTGCTGGTGGACAGCAGCGAGATGATCTTCAAGTTTGACGGCCGGCAGGGCGCCAAGGTCCCTGACGGGATTGTGCCCAAGAACTTGACGGACCAGTTCACCATCACCATGTGGATGAAGCACGGCCCCAGCCCCAGCGTGAGAGCAGAGAAGGAAACCATCCTCTGCAACTCAGATAAGACCGGTGAGTCTCGCCCGGCTCTTTGGTGCCGCCTGTGGTGTCCCCGCAGGTTAGGCAGAGACACAGCCCCTGAAGATGGGAAAAAGGCTTCTGGTCTCTCCGCCTGCTGATTCCTGGGCTCGGGGAAGAGCAGGACCAGAAAAGGGGGGAAGTAGATGTGCAGACACAAAGAAGGCAAGAGCTGTTTCTGGGGTTGGTTTCCACTGGGTTCTTCAGAACCCAGCCTCCCAGAGGCAGCTTGGGGTTACTAGATGCGAGACGGGGCGGGGGAAGGCGGGGGGAGGGTGCACCCTTACTTCAAGCAAAGCAGTGCCACCTTCATTGTATTATACACGGGGATGGGCAAAGGAGGGTACAGTTGTGAGTACAATAAAGCTATTGTAATAATCGTCACCTGCGTGTCTTTTACCACGAGAGCACCTGAAAACCTCCTTTTGCCCACTCCTGTATAGTAAGACGTCCAAACGTTTATTTTCAGTAATAGAGCCTGGCCGTTTAAACGAGTAGTCTGAATGTCCGTGCCATACTTAATAATGATGGCTGGCCTGTGAGGCCTTTTCAGCCTGCCGCTGTGCAAGGCAGTGCCCAGCGTGGTGGTTAAAAACTCTCTACCGCTTATGGCTGGATGATGTGTGGCAAGTTGTCAACCCCTCTGTGCCTCACTTTCCTGTCTATGAAATGGGCATGAGAGTATTGTCTACCTTGGTCAGGGTTAAGTACTAGTGCAGATGTAGTGCTTTAGAAAGTGCCTGGCATACAGGAGTGCAATCTGTGTTAGCTGTTACTCCCTCGCCAGTGTCTCACATCTCCACAAACAAGTTTATAAAAGCGTTGCAGTGTTGTGCATTTTTAAGGATCATGAAACATCCCTGACAGGTTAAGTGCCCTGTCCCAAGTTATACAGCCAGTAAGTATCAGAACAAGAATGCAAGCATGTCACACTGATGGCCAGTGGGCCACACGCCTTGTTTATGCGGCCTGCCGGCCACGGGTTTGACATGCTTGGTAGAGTTAGCTAATTCTAATCCTGTGTTCTTGTCAGTACACCTTACATGCAAACACATGCTTGCACATGTGCGCGCGCGCGCACACACACACACACACACACACACACACACACTCACACACTCTGATAACTTATGCAAAGTTTACAACTCCATCTTAAACTGTAATTTCATAATTTCCCATCTCAAATACTGCTGTTGTTAAGTTACCCAAATACATAACCACAGCAAAGGGAAGGCAGTATAGAAGGGTGGCTGGCAGCTCAGTCTGCGATGGACAGCTAGAGTTTGTAGGGTGTGACCCTTGAGAAGCTGCTGAGCTCTCTGGGCCCGTTTCCCCGGTCACCTGCTCACTCGCCCCTCATTTGTGAAGCGTGTGCCGTGTGGGATATTTCAGTGCGGGCTACTCTATCGTAACTGTGAGGTCAAACGACTCCTCCTCCCACCCAGTGGGTGTTAGCTGGTAGCTACAGGGCATCATGGCTGGGATCCATGGCATGAAACCTTCTACGCAGGAAAGAAAGTTTCTATATCAGGAAAGGAAAAAGCCCCACGCATTGTCTGTGCATGGAGGAGAGAGGGTTGGAAAGTCACGCAACTCTGTGTGAGGTTGGGAAATCTGTCCCCTCCTGCTAGCAACTAAGAGTGAGAGAGCGCACCCTCCCTGCATGGAGATCAGAGAAGGAGATGTGCATGGTGGCACCTCCCCCCAACCCCCAATCAAGCCTGATGAGATAAAAGCCCGGAACTGAGGAGAAGCCAGCTAGGTTAAAGGATCCCAGAGTGAATGATGGGATTGTCAGAGGGCTCCCTTAACTCTCTCAGAAGGATATGTACCAAAAATAAATCAATAAAACCTGCTAGCCTAAGTAAGTGTTATTGGGGGTCTGATACAGCATCTGAGCTTAGGGTAGGTTGATATCTAAGCCCAAATGACATCTTAGGAGTTTTACTGTGGGCTTTCTTGGAACTTCCTCTTGCATTTCAAGGAGCTCCACAATATATGTTCTAGAACATTCCTCAGAACCAATTGTAAAGGAGAGACTGGAATGCCAGTGCCCTTGGAGGTGTGCTAAGTGATGTGGCAGGAAGACTTCTCTGCTGAGATTGACACTGACACAGGGACCCTCCCTCTCCCTTCGTTCTGTCTGCAGAAATGAACCGGCACCACTACGCCCTGTACGTGCACAACTGCCGCCTGGTCTTCCTCCTGCGGAAGGACTTCGACCAGGCCGACACCTTCCGCCCGGCCGAGTTCCACTGGAAGCTGGACCAGGTAAGGCTCCCACCTGGCCCGTCATGCCTGCTCATCCCTTTGCAGGGGTGGGCAGTGTGCTCCAATGATGATGGCAGTGGGTGGACACCGCCGGATTCTGGTCATTTTCTGATTTTGGGAAGAATTAGCTCAGGGAGACAAAGAGCATCTTAAAGTCCGGATGGAAACTGCCATCTTAAAGACCAGGCAGAAGCGGAGGGTCAGCTAACCTGCACCTCATCCCTCTGCTCTGCATTGGGAAGCAGTTCTCTCTCCCTTCATTCGAGGTTCACTGTGTGATCATTGTTGGCGCATTTGTGTGTCATAGATGCTCTGTGTCTCCCTCTTGGATGCTCTGTCATCGCCTTTGGATGAGGTGCAGCCTTGCTTTAGGTGGCACAGGTTGAAAGCAGGGGCTTGGGGATGTTGAAGTGAGCAGTGACATGGTGCACTGTGAGTGACATATGCACTGTAAACAATGGTGCCCTGTGAACAATGCGTGTACTCTGAGCAATGGTGCCCTGTGAACAATGCCTGTACTCTGAGCAGTGGTGCCCTGTGAACAATGCGTGTACTCTGAGCAGTGGTGCCCTGTGAACAATGCGTGTACTCTGAGCAATGGTGCACTGTGAGAGATGTGTATACCCCGAGCTATGCGTGCACTCTGAGCGACATGTGCACTCTGAGCAACGCGTGCCCTCGTCTGAAGTGGAAAACTATGACTCACTTCAGAGCCTAATGACTTGTGATCACAGGGACCCCTGTGTCATGCTTGTCAATGACAAATGAAGTGTCTCATTAGAATCAAAAGCTGTGAAGGGTCTATTTCCGACACTTGCAGCGCTGAGATTGGGGAGGTGGCACTCAGTTCTCTGGGTAGCTGTGCCCCTGAAGAGGCGAGCTGTGCAGCAAGCCTCGAGCTGGCCCTCAGTTTGAAGAATGACTTTTTAAAAATGGTTTTAAATGGCCAAGAGGGAGAGTGGCCAGCAGGCAGGGAAGGGGCATGCAGCTGGGTCTGCTGAGTGAAGCAGAGGGAAGGATGCTCCGTCTGTGGCCTTCCTGCTGGGGCCTCGGCAACTCCTTTTGCTTCTTTGCTGCCCCAGCCAACTCCTGAGCTCCGCTGGGGACCTCAGTCTTCTTTGCTCCCTCCACACCCATGGGGTGTTCCCACCTCACCTTGTCTAGGGCTGAATGTTCCTTCATCCTTTCCCTTCTCTCCCCTTATCACCGCATCTTCCCCATCCTCCCCGGGGACTACCTGGGACTACCCAGAGCTTCCCTCAGAGTGTTCCTGGGCAGCGTTCCAGGAGGAATCCATTTACACTGAGATGAGAATGATGGCCGCCCCCTGGTACCCACACAGAAGCGCAGGCCAGTGCGCTTTCGTAGAGATTCATTATCCCCAGGCAGCCTCTCCCTGGCGGGACATCAGACAGTGCACTGAGGTCAGGGAGGCCAGCTTAGGGGAAGAAGTCTGAGGGATCCCAGTGGAAACTGCTAATCCACTCCCAGTAAATCCCATTTTGCTGGATCCTGGGGTTTTGGAAATATGGCATCTGATTACTGTATGTTTCTCCGAACTAGGGATTCTAGGTCATGCCAAAGTGATGAAATCTTGACATTGTTTGATTTCCCAGCCACCTCTCAGCTACCTTCTAAAGTGCCGTATGGCTTATATGAGATGTGTTTAAATGCATACTATGAATTGAGATGAATGAAAATAAATTCTGTATTGAGAGGGCTTTTAATAAGAACACTGATCTAGTGCGTGCCTGAGCTAGGTATATATGCCCTGACATTTCCTCAGATGGGATTGAGTGGTATCAGCGAAGGACGTCACAGGGTTTGAGAATAAAATGGAGTGAGGAAGGAGAATCTAGGAAATCTGGAATGTGTTCCCAAAGTGGTGAATGGAAGGAGGGCTGAGATCCCCTGACCATCCTGCCAGGCTCGCTGTGTGTGTGAGCTCGTCCTGGTCTCTGCCACCCTCCCGCCCAGTCCCACCCGAGGTCAGTAACCTGCCCAAGGCCACGCAGCACACCCCGGGGAGGACCTGCCTTTCCCATGAAGCTATGCTGCTTGGGTGAGCTTGCTGATTTATTAAAATGTTTCCAATTTTTAAATCTATCTTTACTGTTGAAAGTATGACTGATATCCCCTTTTTTTCCCTGTTGACCTTCTCCACTCCACACCCTCCCAGGCCTGCACTATGGTCTGTGTCCATGGGTTAGGCATATCTGCATATAAGTTTTTTGGTTAATTCCCCCCTCCCTTCCCTCAAAGATTCATTACGTCTGTTCCATGCTTCTATGTCTCTGGATCTATTTTGCTCATCGGTTTATTTTGTTCATCTGAGTGCTATCATGTGATGCTTGTCTTTCTCTGACAGGCTTAATCTTGCTTAGCATAGTACTCTCCAGGTCCCTCAATGCTGTCTCAAAGAGTAAGAGGTCCATCTTTTTTACAGCTGCATTGTATTCTATTGTTTAAATGTACTGCAGCTTTTTTATGGGCCTTTGGGCTGTTTCCAGATCTTAGCTATCGTAAGTAGTGCTTCTGTGAACATAAGGGTGCATATGTGCTTAGGATACATTCCTACAAGTGGGATCACTGGGTTAGATGGCAGTTCCATTTTTTAATTTTTTGAGGAAGCTCCATACTGTTTTCATTAATGGCTGCACCAGTCTGCATTCTCACCAGCAGTGCACTAGGATTCCCTTTCCTCCACATCCTCGCCAGCACTTGTCATTTGTTGATGTCAGCCATTCTAACAGGTGTGAGGTGATACCTCATTGTTGTTTCAAATGCTCAAAGTCACTAATCATCAGAGAGATGCAAATTAAAATGTTTTCATTTTTAAATTTAAAGTATTTTAATTTAGAAATCAGGGTTGTCACTGAAATGCAAAATGTTTACAGACTTAATGAAATGTCCAATCTTCACATTGCTCAAGCTTTGTCTCCATTGTCTTAGCTAGGGCTGCCATGGACTGGGTGGCTGTAACAATAGAATTCATTTCTCACAGTTCTAGAGGCTGGGAGGTCCATGAATAAGGTGCTGACCAATTCCGATCCTCAGGGAGGGCTCTCTTACTGACACTCACCTTCTTGCTGTGTCCCCACTGGCAGAGAAAGAGCTCAGGGACCTTTTCCTCTTCTTAGAAGGCACCAGCCCCATTGGATTGGGGCCCCGCCCTATGACTCCATTTAACCTTCATTGCGTCCTAAAGGCCCTGACTGCAAATGCAGCCTGGAAATTGGGGCTTGGGAAAGCCCCCAGGAGGGGCAGCGTCTGAAGGGCATGTGGAGGGCTCCGTAGAGCCAGGCAGCCAGGAGGGCGGAGAGCTGAGCAGGAGGGCCATCTGCAGGGAGCTGTCAGCTTCCCGTGTGGCAGGGAATGGGGCAGAAATGGAAACCCTTGGCAGGTAGGACCCAAGTTTGGAGGAAGCAGATGGAATTCGATCCTAAGAGGCCTTTTATATCGTGCTATTGAGTTGGTACTGTGTCCCCCAAAAGAATCGGCCACGATGGAGGCACTTTGCCATATAAAGAAGACTGAGAATATCAGGGATGGGTAAATGTGAAGGAGGCTAGTATGAACTTCATAAAATGTATCCAGTGTAAGCCAGTATAACCCAGGCCAAGTCATTCAGTGGGGCCAGTGGTGGGAGATGCATTAGAAGCAGGGTCTCCCCTTCCTCTCTCCACAGCCGGGCAAGGAGACCAAGCCCTGGACAGATGCTGCTCATAGGCGTTGGAACCAGAGCATGCCAAGCAGGATGGTTTCCATATTGCTCTTCAGGAGGTGCCCACGGAGAGAGGCAGGTGCCCCAGAGGACTGTTCTCTCCCCACAGTCCAGCCCTTAGCCCCAGAGGGCCTTTGCCAGGGTGAACAGACTGCCTTTGCCAGGTCAATCCATCAGCTGGCAGCTCCAGGAAATGCCCCTGAAAACCCAGTGCACCTCAGTAAAGAGAGCCTCCTGATGAGGAGAATGCCATTTTAATGGGATTTTTACTTAGGATCTGCTAACGCAAATCCCTGGAGCCAGCTGTCAGTCATGGGCAGGCCTAGCCTAGAGCAGAGGAGGATGCCCAGCTGCCAGCTCACACAGGAGAGGGTTAGTCCCTTGCAGCCCCTTCCAGCTTTAGTCTCATTTGGATACGGTTGACTCGGGGTCATGGATTCTAATGATCTTCCCTTTGGATTTGCTGGTGCTCAGGGGGAAACCTGCTGGTGTTTTATGGGGTGTCTCAGTTCCTGGGAGGCCCGGCCTGAGTGACAGCCTCAGTTGACCAGCACAAGAACAGGTGTCCCCGGCTCCTAGGGAAAAAAAAAAAATGCATCTCTGAAAAGATGCACAGGATGCAGAAGTGGGCTCACACTGGTGGCCCATTGCCTTCTCTGCACCAGCACTTATGACAGGCACCAGAGAGAGGGAAGTGAGATATGACCCTGCCAGGGGCTGCTCACAGCCCTTCCTGCCCAGTAGAGCAGGTTATGGGCCCCTAGAACATCCTGTGAGATGGCAGCGAGAAGCAACATAGGGGAGTGACGAGGCCTTGCTGGAGATGGAGCCAGCACTCAGCTCCAGGCCACGCAAGAATCCAGGCCTGGTGCCGCACCTCCAATTGTCCAGAAGTTGGAAATCAGATTTTTGTGTGAAATCTTTCAATTTTCAGTATTTTTCTCATGTAAAAACATGTTATCATCAGACCAAACAAGTGGTCTACAGTATACCTTTATGCTCTGGTCACCAATTTGAGATGACTGTTAAAACACAGACAAACAGAATAAAAACCACTATTTTGAAATAGGAAAACTATGCTACCATAAGTCTATATGAGAAGCTGGATCTTCTTAACAAGGCCTACCTGTTCTTTGTAAACACCTCCTGCTCTCCCAGCCCCCACCCCACAGCACCCTCCATTAGGAATGCTGGCTTTCCAGGGGAGAAATCAGGGGTGGGCATGTCTAGTCTCCATCATCCCCTCACCACAGCCCTGGCCCAGGTCCTTGGTGTT